TATTATGTTTTATTTTTATTATTTAATTAGTTTCCTTCTACGTGACTTTACCGAAAGAACCAAGAAGATCATCAACATACTCTTAGTTTTTTCGGTAAAGTCACGTAGGTAAAAAATTAAATTCAATTAATAAAAAAATAAAAACAATAAAATCTTGATGGCTGTGACAGTCCCACCTGATGACAGAGACTTGTGTTGCCTCCGAAACGTCGTGATTTTTATTATTTTATTTTATTAATTAAAATTTCATTTTTTTACCTACGTAGTGACTTTACCGAAAAAAACTAAGAGTATGAATCCTTGCAGTCACGAAAGCTTCAAATCTAGAACATCATCAACACCTGCTAACAGTTCCAGCCCATCGCATTAGGGGCGAGTTAATTAAATGTTTGACCAAATATAACGGGCTAATTTTAAGCTGATAATTTTTTGTGGCCCGTGAATGATGTTACAAATATCCAAATGGCCCTTGGCAGAGTAACAGCGCTGGCTGCCGACCGAAAGTGGTAACTGCAGTGTACGGCAGCACGCGCGCTAGGGCTGAACAGAGGTCGCAACCGGGTACCCGATACCCGTACCCTACCCGATACCCGGCTACCCGTACCCGGCCGGGTACGGGTACCCGTTTGCGACCCTGGTGCGGCCGGGTACGGGTACGGGTAGGCCGTGAGTCACTGGTGAGTCACCGTTTGTCACTCATTTCCCAACGTCTTGTCTCTTCTCACAATTCAAGTTCCTAGAATCAACCCACCCGTGCCTGCAACATGGCTTCATCCCAGAGGTCGCAATCGGGTACCCGATACCCGTACCCTACCCGATACCCGGCTACCCGTACCCGGCCGGGTACGGGTACCTGTTTGCGACCCTGGTGCGGCCAGGTAAGGGTAAGGAATCAAAACCTGTTTGCGACCTCTGGGGCTAAACGATTTGGGGATAATATCTAAATGCGATTTTTCTTCGGTTAGATATTGCGATTAAATATGCGATTACATTTTTTAAAGTCAAGCTTCAGTTCAATATTCATTAGTGTAATAGATTTAAAACGTGCGATGGAGCATTTCCACATGATATCATCAAAATATGAACCGCTCTATATATTCTAATGCAAGGATGAGAAGTTAAAAAAATATGAATTGTTCCCAACATGTCTTTATAAAAAAAATAGAACAATCAAACATAGAACAATAGTTAAGTTACATAAATAAAGTTATAATAATTTAAAAATAAAAAAATCCAATACGAAAGCAATAGGACTTTTCAAATCGCAAAAAAACCGCAGCCTTTGCCATTTGATAATCGCATTGTTTCAAATTGCGATTTCGATTTGAAATCGATTCGTCATTCAGCCCTAACACAAGTCAGCAGGCAACAGTATACACAGTAGGGGGGAGGGAGAAAACTAGGGCAGAGTTCACGGAGAGGTCCATCTGAAAGTCCCAGTAATTCATAATCAACATTTACAATTTGAGTACTCAAATTGTAAATGTTGTGGCTTCAACACACCGGTGGGGCTAAAGCAGTGAACTATTTGTCTTTTGTCAACGTGACACTTTTTTACTGATTGGCCGTGTCGGGTGGTGGAGGGTTACGACACATTTATAAATAACGCGATCTAAACCCAAAAACGTTGATTATGAATAACATTGGTCGCGAAAGCCTACATGTTAAAGTCCCAGTAACCCTCCGTCCTCTGGTCTAACACCGTTTGAGATGAGGCTCAAAAGAAAGCTGTCTCTGGTGTGGACCAGTCGGTTTCAATGACAATGCAAATATCATGAGAATGTGTTTTTTGTTTGTATTCTGACCCACAAGCATTGTTGTCAATGCAGACATGATTCCTTGTAAAAGGTTTCAGTTTAAATTTCGATTTAAAGCTTTCGTGACTGCAGGGATTCATCTTCTTGGTTCTTTCGGTAAAGTCACGTAGAAGGGAAGTAATAAAATAATAAAAATAAAACATAATAAAATAATTCTCACGACGTTTCGGCCACAACGCAAGCAGCCGTCATCAGGTGGAGAACAGGTCTGTCAAGGAGACAGAGTCTGAATGGCACGCTCCAGACTTGGAGCGACTATTTATGCTGGGAAGGTTTCAGTTTGGTGGTTTAACATCTTAACACAGCTGTTTTGTTGCCAGAAAAAGGGGAAAATCTATTATCATATTTTGATACTGGCAAAGGAGATCCCACGATGTAGATGCTCACCCCGAGCTCTCATTACTCTGATTGTGCATTGTCTTTGTGCTGTGTACGCCTTTTGGCGTCCTCTGATCTTACAACGTTAGAGACTAGGCCCAAAAGAAAGATGTCTCTGGTGTGGACCAATCAGTTTCAAAGACAATGCAAATATTATCAGTGTGTTTAATTTAGATTTTTGTTTTCTATCTACGTGACTTTACCGAAAGAACCAAGAATACTGCGCCAGAGTCAGCACTGCCCATAGCCTCAACACTGCACCATAGACTCAACAACGCACCGTAGACTCAACACTGCACCGTAGACTCAACACTGCACCACAGACTCAACACTGCACCATAGACTCAACACTGCAACATAGATTCAACACTGCACCATAGACTCAACACTGCACCAGACTCAACACTGCACCATAGACTCAACATAAGCCCATAGACTCAACACTGCACCATAGACTCAACACTGCACCACAGACTCACACTGCACCATAGACTCAACACTACCCATAGACTCAACACTGCACCAGACTCAACACTGCCCATAGACTCAACATAAGCCCATAGACTCAACACTGCACCACAGACTCAACACTGCACCATAGACTCAACACTGCCCATAGACTCAGCACTGCACCATAGACTCAACACTGCACCATAGACTGAACACTACACCATAGACTCAACACTGCCCATAGACTCAGCACTGCACCATAGACTCAACACTACACCATAGACTCAACATTGCACCCTAGACTCAATTGCACCATCGACTCAACACTGCACCATCGACTCAACACTGCACCACTACTCAACACTGCACCACAGACTCAACATGCACCATAGACTCAACACTGCACCATAGACTCAACACTGCCCCATAGACTCAACACTGCACCATAGACTCAACACTGCACCATAGACTCAACACTGCCATAGACTCAACACTGCCCATAGACTCAACACTGCCACACAGACTCAACACTGCACCACAGACTCAATAATGCCCAATACTCAACACTGCCACCATAACTCAATACTGCCCATAGACTCATACACTGCCCATAGACTCAACACTGCCCATAGACTCAACACTGCCCATAGACTCAACACTGCCCATAGACTCCAACACAGCACCATAGACTCAACACTGCCCATAGACTCAAACATGCACAATAACTCACACTGCCATAGAATCAACCTGCACAATGATCTAACACTGCACCATGGTAGAATCAACACTGCACCATAGACTCAACACTGCACCATAGACTCAACACTGCACCATAGACTCAACACTGCACCATAGACTCAGCACTGCACCTAGACTCAACACTGCACCATAGACTCAGCACTGCACATAGAATTCAACACTGCACCATAGACTCAACACTGCACCATAGACTCAACACTGCACCATAGACTCAACACTGCACCATAGACTCAACACTGCCCATAGACTCAACACTGCACCACAGACTCAACACTGCACCATAGACTCAACACTGCCCATAGACTCAACACTGCACCACAGACTCAACACTGCACCATAGACTCAACACTGCACCATAGACTCAACACTGCCATCAGACTCAACACTGCCTAGACTCAACACTGCACCATAGACTCAAACTGCACCATAGACTCAACACTGCCCATAGACTCAACACAGCACCATAGACTCAACACTGCCCATAGACTCAACACTGCACATAGACTCAACACTGCATGATAATCAACACTGCACCATAGACTCAACACTGCACCATAGACTCAACACTGCACCATAGACTCAACACTGCACCATAGACTCAGCACTGCACCATAGACTCAACACTGCACCATAGACTCAGCACTGCACCATAGACTCAACACTGCACCATAGACTCAACACTGCCCATAGACTCAACACTGCACCACAGACTCAACACTGCACCATAGACTCAACACTGAGACTCAACACTGCACCACAGACTCAACACTGAGACACAACACTGCACCATAGACTCAACACTGAGACTCAACACTGAGACTCAACACTGAGACTCAACACTGAGACTCAACACTGCACCATAGACTCAACACTGAGACTCAACACTGCACCATAGACTCAACACTGCACCAGACTCAACACTGAGACTCAACACTGCACCATAGACTCAACACTGCACCATAGACTCAACACTGCCATAGACTCAACACTGCACCATAGACTCAACACACGCACCATAGACTCAACACTGCCTAGACTCAACACTGCACCATAGACTCAACACTGCCCTAGACTCAACACTGCCTAGACTCAACACTGCACCATAGACTCAACACTGCACCATAGACTCAACACTGCCCATAGACTCAACACTGCCCATACTCAACACTGCACCATAGACTCAACACTGCACCATAGACTCAACACTGCCCATAGACTCAACACTGCCCATAGACTCAGCACTGCACCATAGACTCAACACTGCACCATAGACTCAACACTGCCCATAGACTCAACACTGCACCATAGACTCAATACCGCCCATAGACTCAACACTGCACCATAGACTCAACACTGCCCATAGACTCAACACTGCACCATAGACTCAACTGCCCATAGACTCAACACTGCACCATAGACTCAACACTGCACCATAGACTCAACACTGCACCATAGACTCAACACTGCACCATAGACTCAACACTGCACCGTATACTCAACACTGCACCATAGACTCCAACACTGCACCATAGACTCAACACTGCACCACAACGTACACAACCGGGCGAGGATTCTTACACCCACATGCGCGCTCACCGAGGAGCGACTGGAACAGGCTGCTGCCCAGGATGGTGACGACACGCTCGATGGCTCCACGCAGCCGTGCGTCCCCGGCGACGCGGCCAGTCGCGCGTGGTACTCCTGCAGTAGGCCCACGGCGCGCACCGTGTCTGGTACGGGAGGAGGGGGGGGGGTAGGGGGACGCAGAGCAGAACCGTCGCGGTGATGAGACGTTAACAAGTTGTAGATTACACCATTGGAACCTCATTTGCCAGTAAAAAATATGATAATTGGGTTTTTACCCTTCTATCTGGCAACAAAACTGACACCTTTTTTTACAAGGAGTCATGTTTGCATAGACCACAATACCTGCAGTCTTTTGGTGTCATCTGGTCCAACCCATGTGAGACTAGTCTCTAAGGAAAGCTGTCTCGGGTGGGGACCAATCAACTTCAAGGACAGTGCATATCATTATCAGAGTTATGTTTTTTGTTTGCATTATGACCGCAGGTTTTATGGTCTATGCAAACATGACTCCTTGTAAAAAAGGTGTCAGTTTTGTTGCCAGATAGAAGGGTAAAAAAACAATTATCAAGATGGAGATTAGTCCACACACGGGTAGAAGGGAGTGAGATGGAACAGATGGAGCCACGGGGTAGAAGGGAGTGAGATGGAACAGATGGAGATTAGTCCACACGGGTAGAAGGGAGTGAGATGGAACAGATGGAGATTAGTCCACCACGGTAAAGGGGGTGATGGAACAGATGGAGATTAGTCCACACACGGGGTAGAAGGGAGTAGATGGAACAGATGGAGATTAGTCCACACACGGGGTAGAAGGGAGTGAGATGGAACAGATGGAGATTAGTCCACACACGGGGTAGAAGGGAGTGAGATGGAACAGATGGAGATTAGTCCACACACGGGTAGAAGGGAGTGAGATGGAACAGATGGAGATTAGTCCACACACGGGTAGAAGGGAGTGAGATGGAACAGATGGAGATTAGTCCACACACGGGGTAGAAGGGAGTGAGATGGAACAGATGGAGATTAGTCCACACACGGGGTAGAAGGAGTGAGATGGAACAGATGGAGATTAGTCCACACAGCGGGGTAGAAGGGAGTGAGATGGAACAGATGGAGATTAGTCCACACACGGGTGGCGAAGGGAGTGAGATGGAACAGATGGATATTAGTCCCCACACGTGTGTAGAAGGGAGTGAGATGGAACAGATGGGAGATTAGTCCACACCACGGGTTAGAAGGGAGTGAGATGGAACAGATGGAGATTAGTCCACACACGGGTTAGAAGGGAGGTAGATGGAACAGATGGAGATTAGTCCCACACGGGTGAAGGGAGGGAGATGGACAGATTGGAGAGATAGTCCACACACGTGGTAGAGGAGTGAGATGGAACAGATGGAGATTAGTCACACACGGGGTAGAAGGGAGTGAATGGAACAGATGGAGATTGTCCACACGGGTGTAGAAGGGAGTGAGATGGAACAGATGGAGATTAGTCCACACACGGGGTAGAAGGAGTGAGATGGAACAGATGAGATTAGTCCACACACGGTGTAGAAGGGAGTGAGATGGAACAGATGGAGATTATTCCACACACGGGGTAGAAGGGAGTGAGATGGAACAGATGGAGATTAGTCCACACACGGGTAGAAGGGAGTGAGATGGAACAGATGGAGATTAGTCCACCCACGGGGTAGAAGGGAGTGAGATGGAACAGATGGAGATTAGTCCACACACGGGGTAGAAGGGAGTGAGATGGAACAGATGGAGATTAGTCCACACACGGTGTAGAAGGGAGTGAGATGGAACAGATGGATTAGTCCACCCACGGTGTAGAAGGGAGTGAGATGGAACAGATGGAGATTAGTCCACACACGGGGTAGAAGGGAGTGAGATGGAACAGATGGAGATTAGTCCACCCACGGGTAGAAGGGAGTGAGATGGAACAGATGGAGATTAGTCCACCCACGGGTAGAAGGGAGTGAGATGGAACAGATGGAGATTAGTCCACACACGGGTAGAAGGGAGTGAGATGGAACAGATGGAGATTAGTCCACACACGGGGTAGAAGGGAGTGAGATGGAACAGATGGAGATTAGTCCACACACGGGTATAGGAAGGGAGATGGAACAGATGGAGATTAGTCCACACACGGGGTAGAAGGAGTGAGATGGAACAGATGGAGATTAGTCACACACGGTGTAGAAGGGAGTGAGATGGAACAGATGGAGATTAGTCCACACACGGGGTAGAAGGGAGTGAGATGGAACAGATGGAGATTAGTCCACACACGGGGTAGAAGGGAGTGAGATGGAACAGATGGAGATTAGTCCACACACGGGTAGAAGGGAGTGAGATGGAACAGATGGAGATTAGTCCACACACGGGGTAGAAGGGAGTGAGATGGAACAGATGGAGATTAGTCCACACACGGTGTAGAAGGGAGTGAGATGGAACAGATGGAGATTAGTCCACACACGGGTAGAAGGGAGTGAGATGGAACAGATGGAGATTAGTCCACACACGGGGTAGAAGGGAGTGAGATGGAACAGATGGAGATTAGTCCACACACGGGGTAGAAGGGAGTGAGATGGAACAGATGGAGATTAGTCCACACACGGGTAGAAGGGAGTGAGATGGAACAGATGGAGATTAGTCCACACACGGGGTAGAAGGAGTGAGATGGAACAGATGGAGATTAGTCCACACACGGTGTAGAAGGGAGTGAGATGGAACAGATGGAGATTAGTCCACACACGGGTAGAAGGGAGTGAGATGGAACAGATGGAGATTAGTCCACACACGGTGTAGAAGGGATGAAATGGAAACAGATGGAGATAGTCCACCACGGGGTAGAAGGAGTGAGATGGAACAGATGGAGATTAGTCCACACACGGTGTAGAAGGGAGTGAGATGGAACAGATGTAGATTAGTCCACCCACGGTGTAGAAGGGAGAGTGAAATGGAACAGATGGAGATTAGTCCACACACGGGGTAGAGGGAGTGAGATGGAACAGATGGAGATTAGTCCACACACGGGTAGAAGGGAGTGAGATGGAACAGATGGAGATTGTCCACCACACGGGTAGAAGGAGTGAGATGGAACAGATGGAGATTAGTCCACACACGGGGAGAAGGAAGTGAGATGGCAACAGATGGAGATTAGTCCACCAATTCGATCAGACCCTGACGATGACCATGGTTGTATATTTGCTGTGTGGCTAGGAGATCTTCTTGGTTCTTTCGGTAACGTCCCGTAGAATGGAAATAATAAAATAATAAAAATAAAACATAATAAAACAATTCTCACGACGTTTCGGCCACAACGCAAGCAGCCATCCTCAGGTGAAGAATAGGTCTGTCGAAAAGACAGCGTCTGAATGAATGTCTTTCCGACAGACCTGTTCTTCACCTGAGGACGGCTGCTTGCGTTGTGGCCGAAACGTCGTGAGAATTGTTTTATTATGTTTTATTTTTATTATTTTATTATTTCCCTTCTACGTGACTTTACCGAAAGAACCAAGAAGATGAATCCCTGCAGTCACGAAAGCTTTAAATGGCTAGGAGATGTTAACTACCCTCGCCTGGTGTGCAGGAGGTCGAGGGTTCGATCAAGACCATTACGTCTGCTGTTCGTGTGGAGTCTGCGTGTCTCTCTCACCGTGGTTGCGTGGATTTTTGCCCAGGACCCCCCCGGTTTTCCCCCATCCACATTCCGAATCAACGTCACCACGCGTCTGAAGAGCACTTAGCTTCTGCTATGAATTTCCACGCGACGATAAGTCGACTTCATTGAGTTGCAATGATTTGCGTCAGCCAGGGTCTCGTCTGAAATAAGTATAACCCATAAAACAAAGTTGTTCACTCTAAATCCTTTATATGCATGGTGGCTAGAGTCCTCTCGTCCTCTGGCTTGAGATGGCTGCCACCTATGGGTCAGATGATTGTCTGCCAGCATTAAGCAATTGGTAATTAAATATTTAATTTGTTTCCTAAACAGTGTAAAATTTTGGAATTTTTTTCACGAACATTAATTGTCTCGCACGAGTCTGTGTGGAAAATGTCAGCTCGATTGGATCACGGGAAGTGGGTTAAAAAACGACCGAAAGGTTTGCACGGTCGAAGCAAGCAAGCAAGCGAACTTAATATAAAGGATTTAATAAGTAAACCCGTAAAAACAAAGTTTTTTACTCTAAATCCTTTATATGCGTGGCGGCTAGAGTCCTCTCGTCCTCTGGCTTGAGTATGGCTGCCACCTATGGGTCAGATGATTGTCTGCCAGCATTAAGCATTGGTAATTAAATATTTAATTTGTTTTCCCCTAAACAGTGTAAAATTTTGGAATTTTTTTCACGAACATTAATTGTCTCGCACAAACGAGTCTGTGTGGAAATGTCAGCCTCGATTGGATCACGGGAAGTGGGTTAAAAAACGACCGAAAGGTTTGCACGGTCGTAAGCAAGCAAGCGAACTTAATATAAAGGATTTAAAGATAATAGCTACGTAGCTCAGCGCTGGGCTCTGCCCTGTACAATCATAACTACCATTTAAACAAACACTTTTTTAAAAAACACTATTTTATGATGATGAGAAAGAGAGACACGCAACCTCCAAATATACCGCAAAGGTAAAAACCTATTCTTATTTTCCATCCTTTGATACTGGCAAACGAGGTCCTATGACTACAAACAGGCACGCGTATTATTTAAATAATTAATATTTTTGTTTTACTTTTTTTAAACACGCTTTTATGAAATGTACCGTCCTAGTAATGGAAGAACTCCACGACTCCAGGAAGTGGCCCCGAGGCTTGCCACAACGTAAGGGGGCCGTGGCCAATTACAGCCAACGTCAGTTGAGCGTGGACAATTAGACCCAAGCCGAAACATAACATATAAAAAATATAGTTTAAAAATATATTTTTTATGAGAGAATATGGTATTGTCATCAGTATGGCATACGTATACCAAGTTTGCAGTCGATGCCACATTGGGAAGTGGGTTAAAATTGAGTTACAAGATTTGAGGATACAACAACGACAACAACGGACAGAGTGAGTTAAATGAAAGCGTGTAAAAATATTCTGGCTTCTTTCGATAAAGTCACGTAGAAGGGAAATAATAAATAATAAAAAAATCACAAAATG